ACTTTGCCACTTGCACTCTTAAGGGAAATAGATTCCTATCTCCATAAACAACAGGACTATAAGCATCTCCACATGCTGTTTTATGTCTAGTTCACCTCGAAGTATGGTAAAAAGTTGGTCTCCTTAGGAAATACAGTTTTTCTTCAGAACTATAATGCTCCTAACATTCACCTAAAAAGTTGATACTGTTGCCCTTTTTACTGGCTTTCCTGTAGCTATACAAACCTGGGCAGAGCCAAAAAGGAAATTCTCTTCTATGCATTTCGTTCCTTCTCTTATTCCTCCTTCCTTCTCTATCATGGGTAAGGTGAAATGAAGAGGAAAAAAACGTATATCTAGATTCTATGTTAAAAGAAGGTCTGTGGAGCTACAGGCTGGAGGTTGCTTTTTCATCTTTGACAGAAAACAAAGAAATCACAGAGCTATGCAGCATTTTAGGAAAGACGATGCTGCCAGATGTACTGCTTTGGGGATTAAGTTTTAAATTAAAGTTCAATGTTAAACCTGAAAATGGAAGAGGGAAGACCTGGAACATTTGGGAACAGTATAGTTTTTGTTACCAATTGCCTCAGCTGTTCTGATCATGACCAGTGTGGCACATTGCCATCTTCAGCTTACTGCACATCACAGATTGCCACAATGCGTCTAGGTACAACAATTCTTAAAAGATGCTGAATCTATTCACATATTGTCATGATTGTGTTATTGCTAAATAAATCCCACCTATTGTAGTCTGACTATTCATTTCAGTAATACTATACTTCCTGAAGATTGCTGAATTGGCATTGCTGACCAAACAGTTTTTCATCACTAAACACTCATCTGAGTTGTATTTTTGTTTGTTTTTTAATTTCAGTAAAACTTCGCAGTCACATGTACTTAAATGTTTTATTATTATAACTAGAAAGCCTCTTGCATCATTTTTAATTACAAATGAATGTATTCTGTCTGCAATTCAAAACAAAATACATCCTTTACTAAAGATCTCCATTTTCCAAAATAAACAGAGACATGAGGTAGCAATTAATAGCAGTGTTTTTAAAAATTTGTTTAATTAGTAATTACTGTAGTAAAAATAACGTGCTTCCCATTGCAGTATTTTAATGAAACATTGATTAACAATTGTAATTCCCATTAGTTCTATAATTAAGGATTTCACAATTAAAAGAGGGAGTGGTTGGTTTGCACCTACACTTTCAAGCAGCTTGCCAAGAATTTGATAGTAAATTGTTCTTTCAAATAGCTGCTTCTAAAACATAGCAATGAAATTAGCTGGATAGATGCCTCACAAAATAACTATTTCTGTCAAACCATATTAAATTACTTAATTAAATTATTTTTGTGTAACAGATTTGTCCACAACTCTGTGTTTAATTACAAATTAAATTTGCAGTATGATCTATATTAAAGTACCTTTCAGTCCATGTGAAGTCAATGAAGGTCTACACGTGCAAGCGAATTAGGCATCAATTCAAGATTTTTTTATTTTTATTTTTTAATTAGCTACTGCCACAGCATCAAAATCAATAACAAATTATTATTATTAATAATAAGATGTATATTACATCCTGTTTTGCTTGACCAAGACTAATCTTTACATTTATTTTAGGGAAGACACAGCTCGTCAAATAATTTCAAGAAGGAAAATCTCAGTACAAGAAAACTGTATTAAGTTGACTAAAGGTCTAACTGAAAGGTAAAAACTTCTTAGGATCTTTGGCTCTTCTTTTCAATTACTGTCTTGATGTTTGAGAATGAAAGTTGAACTGAGTATATTCTAGAGAAAAACAATTAATAAAATGGAGGAAGCAAACCATTGATGTATAAAAACAAAAGTCAATTTCAATGCAGTCTCCAATGTTTTTAAGAGGGCATCTTGTAAGGTAAAAACAGGAAGTTTCTGTACAGATCCCCTTTATTGTAGCAGTTCTGTTACCATTGCAAAAGTGAAAATGTGTCTTAATTTGTGTGCGTATTTTGAACACTTAGCTTTTTTCTATATAAGTATCTATCCATCTACACACATATCATCCTAAATCTGGTTTTCCTGCATTAAGTATTTTATGTTTCCTGATGGACAAGAAGCTGGACATGAGCCAGCAGTGTGCACTTGCAACCCAGAATGCCAACTGTATTCTGGGTTGCATTAAAAAAGGGGTAGTCAACAGGGAGGGGGGGTGATTGTCCCCCTCCACTCAGCTCTTGTGAGGCCCCATCTGGAGTACTGCATCCAGGCCTGGGGCCCCCAGTAAAAGAAAGATAGAGAGCTCTTGAAACAGGTCCAGAGGAGGGCCACTACGATGATCAGAGGGCTAGAGAACCTCTCTTATGAAGAAAGGTTGAGAGAGTTGGCCTTGATTATTTTGCAGAAGAGAAGGCTCTGGGGAGACCTCATTGTGGCCTTCCAGTACTTGAAGGAAGCATATAAACAGGAGCAGGAATGACTGCTTATAAGGGTGGATAGTGACAGGACAAGGGGGAATGGTTTTAAACTAGGACAGGGGAAGTTTAGGTTGGATATTAGAAGGAAGTTTTTCACTCAGAGGGTGGTGACGCACCGGAACAGGTTGCCCAAGGAGGTTGTGGATGCCCCATCCTTGGAAGCATTCAAGGCCAGGCTGGATGTGGCTCTGGGCAGCCTGGTCTGGTGGTTGGTGACCCTGTACAGGGTTGAAACTAGATGATCATTGAGGTCTTTTTCAACCCAGGCCATTCTATGATTCTGTTTAAAAAACAAAAAACAAAAAACAAAAAAACAAAAAACAAAAAACAAAAAAACACACAACAAAAGACAACAAATAATGTCAAATAGAATATAGCTTTCCTCAGCCTAGGTCACAGTTTGAAGGAAACTGTCTTGACCCTTTGATAGAGACAAGGGAGTACAAATATTCTGAAGAGTCAGACAAAACACAGCTGAAAATAATAGAATATATTGTATGTGATGATAGAGGAGTCCACAAGAGTACCTACTATAGAATATTTGTAGGAAACAAAGGGATATATGCAAAAAAGGCTAATTTCCATAGCATTTCTGAAGTATTTTACACACATTTTTAATGGATGGGGCCTTTCACAACACCCCCTTCATAACTGGTTGCTATGGTGACAAGGACAGGCTAAAAGCCTACAGAAGATGAAAGTACTGCACTATCTAGCTAATTACTCAAGGATGTAACATACTATTGGACAAAAACATCTCAAGATACCTGTGATGGAAGAATCTCTGCACCAAAAACTGATTGTTTATTAAGGGAGGTAATACTGAATGAATATAACACATTTCATAATGAGTAGACAATTTATAACATCATCTTCAAATAATATCTAATGTGAAAGACATCTCTTCTAGTATATGAAACCTGATTTCATTTTCACAATATTTGTATGTGACAGATAAGTCTCTACAAACTGAGAAAAACAGTTTACAGGAACAGAGAGATGTGAATAACTGTTCCCAATTAAAAATCTAAAAACCAAGCAGCTTACCATTTGAGCTATAAATGGAAGGAAGTGGGAAGAAGTTGCACAGAGCAACACATCCAACTTGAGGACTGTCAAACTGCTCCAGAATACTTTTTGGGTGTACAAAATCTACAGATCAGGAAATTACTCAACAATTTATGGTACAAGTAATAACAATTTAAGGTACAAGTACCTTATCTACATGCAAAATTGGGAAAATAAACTTTTTAATTCTTTCAAAGGTGCTCTAAGGACAAATATGTAAAGATTCTGAAGCTGCATTATGTTGGTGAACATCTGAAGTAGGCAGGCTTGCTAAATACAATAATATTTTTCAATAGATGTGAAAATCTTATACTCGAAAATTAATTTTACAGAGATTGTCACAGATATGTATTTTAGAAATATTCCTTTTTCAGCACTTGGGAAACATTACTATACGGTGAGTGGTAATAACAGTGACCCAAAACACAGTACTAACAGATATGAAAAGCTGTGAGATGGAACCTTTGAAAATCAAGAAACATGAAATTAACATTTTCAATATTATGTTTTCTGCAACATCTCACTGTATTTATTTCATCAGTACCTAGCACAACAAAACAAACAGTATTCAAGTGCTATATTTCTTCCTGCAAACTTGCCTAAGGCACTTTCTCTGCCAATGTCAGCAGTTGTGCTAAACATAAGCACATCTTTAGCATAATCTCATTTTCATAAACAGCAACAATCCTGTATAATCAGAAGAAAAAGGATCTCAAAGGTATTCCTTAACCAGGAGTAAGTAAAAGACATGAGACACAATTATCTCATGGAGTGAGCACATTATTTTGTTATTGATAACAGCGTCTAACAAGAACAGAAGTAACGTAGTTTGTGTTTCCATAAAACAAAGCTTTCCACGAAGCAGTATTCATCAAGTACCAAAATAAGGCTACAGATGATCAAAACTCAGTAAAATACACGTCTGTTTAAATAAATTTATGTGTTACACTGACAGGATTATTTGACAGGTGGAACAGATACTATCTGAAATAATCAAATTCTATCTGCTGACCTTAGCTTCAATAGTAAAAACATAACTGTTCAAGATCATGAATTCTACATGACATAAGCATGGTGCAATTGTATTTGCACTGACTTCAACCATAAAGATTACCTGTCTAGTCAGTCAATATTTTCAAAACTAGACAGGTACAAAATCACTCTTAACAAATATTTAACCATTTTTTTTCACTCACTACACAGAAAGCAATACAAAGTCAAGATTTAACTGTTCTATTTCTCAAAGGCCATAATCTTCTGTTCCTCTTATTCTGAACAATACAACTACTGAGTTATTTAATCTCCATTTTCCTCCTCCTCATCCTAACTTTATGCTAGAATAACTTCAAAGCCTTTGAGTTATTTCTGCTTAACAGAAATCTCGCCTACATAAGAAAGTAATCTTTAGCTACCTTATAATTCTTCTAAATAATTCAGATTTTTTAAGGCATTATGTAGGGTAGGACAGTATTCAAGGAGACTTTAGTTACCTGGGTAATACCTAGCGAGGCCAGTTGCACTACCAAAAACTTGCCATAATAAAGTGGGGTCTTCTTCTCTGTTCCGCTTGAATACATCATCCAGTGCTGCAGTCCAATTGAGTTCATTTAACACTATTGTTGCTGTCAAAGATAAAGCACATTTCCAAGTTAAAAAGTTACGCTGACTATAAAAAAAGCAAGCTAAACTATTACGGAAAGTAATAAAGCTTCTAATCCTTTTACAGTTAAATTGTTTATTAGTTAAGAATTCCTTAGGAATTTTCTTTAAGTTTCTGATATTCCCTTCTTCCCATTTAATTATTTGTAAGCAATGGCTGTTGATTTATTCATATAATGTCTTCTAAAAATACTTTATGAGATGTTACTCTAGTTGAAAGAAAAGTAAATGTACTCATACAAAGGCATATAAAGTTGATGTTTTTATTAATCACAGAAAACTGCAATTAGAATGTTGTCAACAAAAGCAGGTGAGTTTTTTAGAAAAGCTAACAATGTTTTCCTGTCCAAACAGATGCTTTCAGGTGGTTCTATGGGGAAAAAAAAAAAAAAAAAAGACAATGATGAGTACTTGAATTGCAGTACTAAAGTGGGATTTTCATACACTCATTATTGCATGTTAACAAATTATTCATGCTTATAAATGTGATTATTTATAGAAAGAGCAGCAGTGTAAACATTAATATTTATGAACTGGGTCAGTTTTACAATGAAGGTAAAAACAAGAGTATTCACATTTTTAAGTATGATCAGCTGAAGACTAAATGTCCAGGCAAGACTGTAATTTAGGTTTTTCCTGCAGTATGGTATTGCATACAAGAAAGAATTTTTATGTTCTCTTGCAAATGGGCAAGTCGAATGGAAATAAAAACAGTTTGTGTTTAACACAAACGAGTGGCACCACAGTATAAATTTCTGCATGTAGATTTACATTCTAGCCCATGGAAATAAGAATAAGGACAGATTAAAAGTTAACACATGACAGCACAATTTGAAAATGAGTTTGTTACAAGTACTAGAGAAATGAGATTGTAACATTAAATTTTATAGGCTTGTTACCAAACGTTAAAGAGAAAATTGCTACACCCAGTGTTTGGCAGAAACAATTGTCTGTTCTTCAAAGGATTTTTAAGGTAATACTGCTCTCCCACGGTACGTCTGCTTATAGAAATATGAAATTAGATTTCCAGCTCTTGAGATTCCCTGTAAACAATAAACTTTATAGTGTATACTTGTCTCTTTGTCAATTAGGTAATTATAAAAATGTTTATTTACTTGAAAAAGAGGAATAATTCCCAGAGGTATTATGAGAAGCTAATTATTTTAGAATGTTTGCTATTCAACTATCTCTTTCAGAACCAGTTACATCTACTATAAAAAAAAAGCATTACGTAAGCTTTTTCTGAATTCATTCTTTGTTCCCAGTCTTAATTTTAGAAGTGGCTCAAAGAAGTCATTAGAAGCTTTACCATTTACTGACTCAGAAGGATTTCCTTTCACACTTGATTTCTGATATTTCCTCGCTCGATTTACAGAGTACTTGGCACAGTGAAAGCCTATGTCAGTGGTTCCTAATGGCATTTAGGGTGCTGGAGCATAGGGTACTTAAGGCACATGGGTGACAGCAATTCTTACCTTTTTTATATCTGACAAAACATTCAGGTTTCAGTGTCCTCCACGGACTCCCTAGCCCCAGAACAATGTAAGGCAATGCATTTCTTTAGCCTTATGATCTGACTTAAAATTGCTGGAGCCTCTATCCCCAAATTTGGCAACCCAATTTTTACCCTACTCCAGTTAAACATTCAAACAGGAAAAAAAAGTTATTGATGGTCACAATTGCTTTTCTGAATTGGTGGCTGCATGTCTGGAAGCAGTTCCTTCACATATGAAATGGAATACAGTATTTCCAAAGAGATTTCCTTCAGATAATAACCTCACTAATAAATAAACTATATGCAATATTAAGATATAATAGCCATATTACTATACATTTACAAATATTGCTGCAGTGTCTTTAAAATCATACAAACACGTTGTATAGATTTATCAACATGAACATACATGTACACGTGCACATATATACATATGTAAAAGTATGCTTCTAAAATACATGCTTACAGAAAACAGGAGAAACTGAGAATCTACAATTAGTAAAATACCAAAGTACTGCAGACCAAAGTACTGAAAAATGGATAAACTGAAACAAACAGTTTCAGCATTTTATTAGATTTGTGTAGATTAGGCTATAAAGCAAGAAATAGGACTGCTCAGATTTTATTTGTAATATTGGTGGATGCCTTACAATCCAAGGAAAGAGTTTTATGATCATATGTTCCACTTTTACCTCCCTCCTCCTGCTTCTCAACAATTTTCTCCTAGAGATAAATAAAACATCCTAAAAAAATCCAAGGCTGGAAAGAAAAGAAGAATATTAATGTGGAATTGAACATGAGAACAAGAGGAGAACATCCAAACAGACATACAATGAAAAAGACTACTAACAGTATGTGCCTGGAAGACACAAGAACTTATTTGGTGGAATTGTTATGTAAATAGCTGATAGTATGATCATTAAAACAATTACTTCTGAAGCAGTTTGTCTGTAATTAAAACTTGCTCCCCTTATTCAAAATATATGATACATATATACTTCCATTAGCATACGTGTGTATGAAATGCACCTGTATTTGTTTTAACTAACCCAGTGAAGAGTAAATAAGGAAAAGGATGCTGGGAATTTTAGCTTTAATCATTTATTTTTCTATTTTCCACAACATATATTACTCTTCTGCTTCTGTTAAAGGTACACTCTGGATTTCAAAAGACAAGCTGCAAATCAGTTCCCCTACATTTTTACTGCAATACTTCTGGTAAGAGGCAATTTAAACCCAATATCACTTGACACTGGTTTAAAGCCTATGGCAAAGGATTTGAAACTTGCCATCTAAAGAAAAGAAAGCAAAACCCTCCAACACAAACAAAGCCATTCAAATGGCTCATACTAAAACACAATTCCTAATTTGCACATAAAAATTAATAGAGCATGACTTTTACTAGCTCTTAGTAGAGACCATACCAATCGTCAGAATATCTTGATGTGAAATACATAGATTTATACTGGCTTCATTAATAGAAGAGAGAATTTCACTTCTTTTTCTGTTACAAAAAAAACCATATTTTAGTAAAACAAATTGTTCAGACATGCTATAGCCACACCCATTGAGATGCTGTATAGACTAGAAAAAAAAAAGGTTTCTTTTTGAGATAACTTTTGTGTGGGAAAGAGCTTTTGACTGATAATTTGCAGAAAGTCTACTTTAAGACAACTCTCCAATAACTTTATTTCTAATTCTGCTAAAAGAAGTCTTTGAAGATTGTTTCTGCTAAGTACTTCAACTGCTACCTTTCACTTGATACAGGCAAGATGAAAAATAAAATTAATCATTGCACAGTAAAAAACATCATTCTTAATTCCAATGAGATCCATCTATCTTCTCACTTTTCCCTCTTCTTTATCACACGAGGTTTAGGGGCCTTGACAAGGAATGGATTCAATTTTCCTCTGCAAATGCAATCAATAATAAAGTGAGAGCACTACTGTTCTCTCTTTAAAAGAACTGGAATACACTTCTGATGATTTATTCAATATATAGGCCCTGGACTGCATACAGGGCAGAGTATAACATTATTTAAAAAGCCTGAGAGCTATTTACTATATCAGAAAATGTGTCAAATGCTGTTCCCTGTTGAGGCAGCTACACATATCCTGGGGAGAACAGAAGGGACTGCTTCTACAGACCATTAATTGTCTTTTAGTGTATGGCAAGTATTACAATTCCATATCTTATTTAATGAAGTTGATTCAAATAAACTTGAAGTTTATTTGAAAATAACACCCATTAGTTATTCTTATGAATGAAATACCTATTTGCAGTCCAATCTTATGGTATTTAAAACTGGAAGAATATATTTGCAAAAGCATATTTTTGTATACTTACATGGATACACAGGTTTCTGTCTATAGACATGCTAAACAGATATTTTAGAACTTCTGCTGTCTGTATAGACAGTCTTTTTTATTACCTATGTTTTTCTCATGATTTTGTCTGGGAAGGAGTTAATTTTATTAATAGAGTCACACCTAATGCTGCCTCTTGGATGAAAAAAGTAGTGACAGCACAACATACATTCTTTCAAGATTAAATTCCCTCCAGCTTATTTGTAATTAGCTGTTTGCATTGATCAAGCACATATTTTCCAAATAATTCCCAAATACAATCATTTGAAAATCTAGTCTGACAGCAACTTAAGCTACAGTACTTCAAATTGAGGTGTATGCTATGTCTGTTTTGCAAAGCTCAACATGAGCAATAGGCAAGAGCAAAGGAAAGATTACAGTGGCTCCAAAATGAATATTGTCTCCTAGGTAACTAGTCCTCTCTGTGAAATCAGAAATCTGAATTTAGATGCTTAGGCTTTCCATAGAACATCATAGGAAACTGTTCGGTTCAAAGGGTCATTAAAAACAACAACAACCAAACAACTTCACAGATTATCAGAAGCCAGTTAAATGAGAATAATAATAAAAACATCTCAGCAATGGGCAGCATTTTATTCCACATCTCTCTGCAAATAAATCAGAGCTCCAGAGGTTGCACTGCTATCCACTCAAAGGGATAGAACACACTGTTAGTTGTATACATGGATCAAAGGAATTTGTATCTACAAGATGCATCTCCAGAACACCAAGTTTAACATGTTAGTTGTACACATTTGCTAACTTTTATTTAGTCTTGAAAGCATCTATCTGATGATGACAGTACTCTACTTTGTGCAACTATATTAGAAACTAATTGCATACTGTGAAAGGTAAAGAATAACAGATAGAAAAAGTGTCTATTTATTTATTTTTTTTTTCAATCAAAAAAAAAAATCAAAACAGGCATTTAAGAAATGAAAAGGAATTGTATTCTTTTCATTTTTTTCAGTGGTGATCAATTAGGTAGGTCATTATTTTCAGTGCTGCTCTGCTTCATCTCTTATATAGATCAGTTAAAAATTCCTGCCTTGAAAACAGTATTTGTATTTCCTATCATAATTTAACTTTAAATTACTGGATA